AATTAAAGCGCTAGGGCCCTGCAGGTTGCCCACCAAGCAAGCAGGGCGCGAGACACGCACAGTGCCAGCGACGCCAGCCGCGCCGCTCGCCACCAAGCAAGGCAACAAGATCATATGCCTGCGCTACAACAAGGGCACCTGCACCGACCCTGCCTGCAAGTACCACCACATCTGTGGTTTCAAGCTCCCCTCCGGCCAAGCCTGCGGCAAGAAGCACCCCGCCTACACCCACACAGAGGAGACGCCCGCACCCATGCCACCTGCACCCCCTGCCTGAAACCGTCCGACGGAACCGCCTTCCGGGCCTTGCCCGCGCCTAGCCTGCCTTCACAACCTCCCCAAGCCTTCCCGCAAAGTGCCAGCTCGGTGACCGCGGCATCCGCTGCCCCGTCACAGTTGCCTGCAGTCGTGCACGCGGTTCCGCCCGCGATCCCGGCGCGGAGCCCGCGAACTGCGCCCGCGCCAGAGGAGCCCTGCCAGCCCTCGACCCCTAAGCCCCCTAAGGCCCCTATCCCTAAAGCCCTCGCCCCGCCTGCACCGCCCTCTTTCCCGCCTGCGCAGCCCGCCCCTCAAGGGCCTGCCCCGCTACGCACCGACAGTACTGCCAAGCTCGCCGACACGTCAAAGCCAGCAGTTGCAGCAGCCGCTGCCCGACCTCCGCAGCGCGCCTTTTGCGAACTCTTCGGCATGGCCAGCACAGCCCGCTCACCCAGGCTCTGGCCACCAAAGGCCGCCTTACCACACCGCCAGTGGACCGCACGCACGGTTTCGACATCCTTCACCCCGGCACCTTCGCCAGCCTGCTGCAAATGTGGTTCGCGGGGGAAATCGGCGCACTCTGGCTCACGCTGCCTGCAAGTGCCTGGATGCCGCCCGCCCACAGCGCCTCGCCAGCATCTGCCCTGCGCAGCGCCTCTCATCCCGAAGGCCTGCCAGCGCTCTCAGAATCCGCGAGCCAGCGCCTCAAAGCCTCGTGCCAATGCCTGCGAAACTGCCTCGCCCTCCTGCATGCAACCAATGCTGCCGGCGGCAACTTCTTCTTGCAAGCACATCCCGCCAGCACCGTCTGGCTCGATCCCGCTCTCATTCACGCACTGCAAGCCTCTGGCGCTCATGTGACGGCCATTGCTTTCTGCGCGCATGGTCTGGACCGTCACGGCTCCTGGCTGCTCGCCTCTAACAGCACTGCCTGCACGCACCTTGCCGCTGCATGCGCCCATCCCCCCGGCACGCATCGTGTCGACATGCTCAAACGCAAACGCGACGCACAGCCTTCAGCCCCGCCCAGCGCCTACCCCGCCACACTGCTCGAATCCCTTGCCGCCAGCATCGCACCACTGCTATCGCAGAGCACAACCACTCTGCCACTTCGCACTGCAGCGCCCGCACTGCGCCCGCACCAGCATGCCCGCCCAGGGGTTTGCGACGGCGCAGGCCTGCGCAGCACAGCTGATCACTCCACCCCGCGCTGGCAGACCCCGTCCCTGCAAGCCTTGCGCAAGGCCTGGCTGTCCTGGGCCTGCAGCCAAGACCTGCCCAACAAAGTGGCCGCGCACCTCATGCAAGGCAAGCCCGAGCACCCACTGTCCGAGGAGCAATGCATGCAGGCAGCCCGCATTGCTCACCATTAAGTCCTGCACCCCAACTGCAACGACTCCGCCTGCCTGGCCATCGACCCGGGCCAGCCTTTCCGCCTGCACCTCCTGCAACTGCTCGCCTCTGCAACAGCAGACCCTGACACAGACATCCTGCAACTTCGGCGTGCCTACGGGTGCCTTCGAGCCCCTGCCGGCCAGCAAGCAATGGCTGCCTAACACCGACCTGCCCGACGACGACCTAGCCCCGCCAGCCCTGCTGCACTGCGAGGGTAACTGGAAGCGTGCGGAAGACAATCCAGAACTGCTCCAAAGCCTGCTCGCCAAAGAAATAGAGGGCGGGTTCGTCCGGCCTTTCGACGGCGACGAAGCCGCGGCCCGCCTGCACTGGCCGGCAGGCACCGCCATAGGCAAGCTCAACATCGTGCTCGCAGACGATCGCGATGCCCGCCTCGTCCTCGACAGCTCGATATGCAACCTCAACAACAGGTGCACGCTCGCAGAGCGCATGGCCATGCCCGCAGCCAGCGACGTCCAGCTCACCTTCGCCCCGCAAGACCCGCACGGCATCTGGGCTGCCCTCTGCCTGGACTTCAAAGCTGCGCACAAGCGCATGCGCGTGCACGCCCACGAGCAAGGCGCACTACTTTTCCGCGTGGCCCAAAGACTTTACTACTACACTGTCTGCCACTTCGGCGCCCGCTTCAGCTCTTACTGGTGGCAACGCGCCGCGGGACTCATAACCCGCATCTTGCATGCGCTGCTTGCTCCCTCCTCGCACCGTGCCTGGATCTACGTGGATGACTTGCTCGCAATGCTCCTTCGCGCGAGCCTGCACGAGGACGCCTGCCTCATCATCCTCCTGCTTGCCAGCATTAACGCCCCCATGAGCTGGAAGAAAGCACAGCTGGGAGACACAGTCACCTGGTGCGGGTGGACCTTCGACCTGCACGCACAGCAAGTCTGGCTGGCATCCGCCAAGCTAGAAAAGCTCCGCACGCAAATGCAAGCCCTTTTGCAGCCGCTCGAGTCCTGCCTCGGCCTGCTCATGTGGGCCACTTCCCTGTGCACTTTTCTGCGCCCCATGCTCAGCACGCTCTCCCGCGACTTGCACAGCGGCAAGGGCACACTCAAGTCCGTGCCCGCCCGCCTCTGGCAACAATTCTTGCACGCTCTTGACGACTCGTGCAAGATCGTTCGATGCCCGCCCGGTCTCTGGCTCGCGCGCGGCGCCCGCATCGTTGCCGTGGGGGCCCGCCATGTCGCCACCAAAGCAGACATACCCAACGCGCCCGCCACGCACAAGCCTACTTACGTCCGCGGGCAAGACCCAGCACGCAACGAATGCCACTTGGGCAAAGACAGCCAAGCCGCCCTGCAATGGCTCCTGTCCTGCATGCAGTTCGCGCCACAACAGCCGCTACAGCTTGCACCGCTCCTGCACTGCATGTGCGCAGCAGATGCCATGGCCCAGGGGGACACTGTGGGCATCGGAGGCTGGCTTAGCACCTCCACTACCTTCCTCTGGTTCGCCTGCACTTGGTCCATGGACGACGTCCGCCAGACCTGGCCGTGGCTGCTCAAGGACGCACAAAAATACATTGCCTGCTTCGAAGTGCTCGCACAGCTCGCCCTGCTTCAGTGCACCTTTGCACGCCTGCGCCATAGGCACCAGAGATTCTGCCTGCCCTCCGCCACGGACAACAGCCCGAGCGAAGCCGGCCTGAACAAGCTTTTCAGCACAGCCGAGCCCATCGCTCACTTCCTAAAGCTCGCGGCACAATGGGCGCACGCCCGCGGCATACACCTACTTCTCACGCACCTGCCCGGCGAGAAAAACACCTGGGCAGATGAGCTCAGCCGCGACAATCTCGCCCGCTTTCAGCACAGAGCCAGCGAGCGCATGCACGTCTCGCTCGCACAGCTAGCGCTTCCTGCCACAGGCGTGCGCCTGCACCCTGCGGACTACTCCTGGCCGCCTGCCCTGCAAAACGCAGTGGCTTCAGACAACCTGCAGCCTCCGCCCGCAGCCAGCAAAAGAAACCTCTCACGGCTAACCTGCACGCACGCACTGCCAGTTCTTGTCAGCCAGCTCTCTTCTGTTCTCGCCTAGGCCTGAACGACTGCAGCGAGCCAAGCTGCTGCACTCTACTGCCTCCCTGCTTCGCGCGCCGCACGCCGCACACAGCCGACACTAAGGTCCGCACGAGCCGCCTGCCTCAGCCCCAGCCTCAGCCACCTGCTCGCCTTTTTTCTGCGCCTAGGCCTCAGCCTGTGCCGCCTGAGTACTACCGTTTGGGCCGCCTGCCCCGTTAGCAGCCACGCCAGGCGACCCTACAACTCATCTGCGCCTGCCTCAGCTTTCTGCTCGCACTGCCCGCGACGGTGGGGGTCCTCTAGCTTTGCAGCCTACGGGTCTGCAGTGGGGGTCTGAGTCGCCCGCCCGCGACCGGACTCCTTAACTCTGAGCAGCACCCGTGGTAAAATAAGAGCGCTCGTCTCTTTCGCATGCTTAGGTCTGTAGTTGACTAGAGTACATGAACTGTCTAGAGAACTAGTGCGTACTGAATGCTACCCAAGATTGCCTCCTCTGCAGATGTTCTCATCCGCCACAAGCAGCCGGACAGACCCGAAAACTTAATCTTTTGCCATGGCTGGCGCATGCTCAACGGTGGACTTGCAGAGGTTGTTCCTGTGCAGTGTCTCTTATGCGAGCGGCGTGGCCGTCTCAAGGTGGCCAAGAAAATGCTGCGGGGTATAGGACTAGGAGCATTGCATAGTTTGACAAAGACTTTAAAGAGCAGGGGAGCCACACGTCCGCACAAACACCCAACCGCAATTCTGAGAATGGCTTGGCCATTCACTTCCTGCCACGGCCTCGGCCGCGGCCTCTTTTACCAAACGCCTTTGGCGTTGCAGAAGCTTTTGCACTTGGTCCGCCACCACTGGAAGCGGATGCAGCGCCGGTGCTTTCAAGGAACCCCGTACCTGCATCGAAGCATCTCAGAACCGTCCCGACGTCTTCATTGGATGGACTCGGAGCGGGAGCAAATTCTGACAACCACTGCCAGCTACAAAACAACAGTTCACATCGTGCTATGTTCGTGAGAACTCTTGCATCCAAAGGGGCCGGTCCGTGACACCAGGAACATGAAGCATGTGCCAGTCCCACAGCTTGTCTACCACTTGCTGCAAGGCATTGAACTCGGTCAGTTTTTTTCGTGAACCCCCCCAGGTTGAACATGTTCTCCCTGTGCCCACGCCATCCATGGTCACTTAGAGTGACAATGATGGACACAGCAAACGGATTCGATGGCTAGTACTTGGACAGCAAGCAAGCATCCTCCTGAGAAAACCTCAGAGTGTGCAACCGAGCCACCAGGATAAGTCCCCTCGTAAAACTGTCGGACAGGCTGGCGTTGTATGAAGCACCCTTGCAATCAACCTTTTCCCGGAAGTAGCGGTATCCTTAGATTAACGTGTGGCGTGTGAGACCGGGGTGCGCAGAGGCATGTTGGCAAAATCATCAATCCCAAAACGCAAAAACCCTTACCCGTCAAACGCACAAACCGAATCCATAAAATCCTGAAGGGAGAAAGCCTCAGAACCCTAGAAGCCCAAAGTCTTGACACCCTAAACCCTAAAACTTTATTTCCGACCAACTCAACAAACCCTCAAACACTTTCCACGAAAACCCTAAAGCCATAAAACGACAAGCCCTAAACGACCGGGACCTTGCGAGGTCGCCAAAGGCCCTGGATATGGCCGAAAATGCTGACGAAAAACAACTCCTTCGGCGTGTAATGCTTGCGACCACTCGTGGGTTGCAAGGCTTCGCCTAAGCTTAGGATCACTGTTGACACCCCAGGACAAACGCAGGAACTCACGCAGACAGCCAAATGCACGGAACCGCGTAGCCTCGTCCCTCTTTCACGTCTGCGCTCTCTGCTTTCGCCCTTTCTGCGTAGCGTCCAAGCCCTGGAATGTCTCGGCGTTATCTTTGTCGAGCACCGAGACTGCGGCCAAGACTTCGTCTGGGCAGTCTGTCAGCTTGCGCTTGGTCCCTGCCAAATCGCGCACCATGCGCTGATACTCCTCGTCATCCGGCCGCAGACGCGGAAACAGGTGATGTACCAGGGCAGAGGCAAAGTCGATCTTGATGTGATTTCGCCTTCCTGTGCGCGAGTTCGCAGCGCCGGAGCCTTCTTCTGGCATGGCGACACTGTTGAGCTTGGCGATCAGCTCTCTGCATTCACGGACAAACCCGTTCGAACAGCTGCTTTCAAGACACTCTCAAAGGGATGCTTCAGTGTCAGGAGGCATGCAGCAGGGCGCAAGTCCTCTGGAATCATAGCTGGGATCACCGGTTCCGGTACCGCTGCGCTCCACACATCTGTCTGATTCAGAACGTTGAGGTGCATTATCCAAGTTGGCTGGCACTCGAGGTTCTCGGCAGTCAGGGGCGGCAGGGCAAAGTAGTCCTCAGCTGCCGCACGCGCGGAAGCTTTCACAACTGCAGTGCCATGGGCACGAAATAAGGCACAATGCGGGACACAGAAGACAAGTGATGAACGAGTACCTGATTTTCAGAAAAAGGCACCTTCCCGTCGCGGCTTCTCTTCGGCAGGAGAGGTAGTCCCATGACCATCCAATTCCGGAACCCTAGGGACAGGTAGACAGCACGGCCATCTTCTCGTCTGATGATGAGACCTGCCTGACAAAGGCAACCTGAGTTATGCTGGACATGAGACTAGCACGGAGCAGTCAAATAATAGGTTAGTTCGTTTGCGAGAGCCTCAGAGAAAAAAGGGAATTCCTATCAAACATGTCGCCCGCCCACAGGCTCGGCGTATCCTGAAAGTTGTTTCGGACAGTTGCACACAACGCAGCAGTAGCTGTGGTCATTCGCTGCTCCGCCAACGAACCAGCGATGCCCCACGCATCTTGTACCTGCATACAGGCCGAGAGGTGTACGGCAACAGTTTCTGGTCCTATAGACATTGCAGAGCCGGGCCTCTGCCAACGTGGCCAAGTTCACCTTCTCAGGCAATTTCGCCTGCTCATGTGGGCCACTTCGCTCTGCACTTTCCTGCGCCCCATGCTAAGCACGCTCTACCGCGACCTGCACAGCGGCAAAGGCACTCTCAAGTCCGTGCCAGCCCGCCTCTGGCAACAGTTCTTGCATGCACTCGACGACTCTTGCAAGATCGTGCGCTGCCCGCCCGGCCTCTGGCTCGCGCGCGGCGCCCGCATTGTCGCCGTGGGGGCCCGCCATGTTGCCACAAAGGCAGACATACCTAACGCGCCTGCCACGCACAAACCTACCTACGTCCGCGTGCAAGACCCAGCACGCAACGAATGCCACCTGGGCAAAGACAGCCAAGCGGCCCTCACGTGGCTTCTCTCCTGCATGCAATTCGCACCGCAGCAGCCTCTACAGCTCGCGCCCCTGCTGCACTGCATGTGCGCGGCAGATGCCATGGCCCAGGGGGACACAGTAGGCATTGGGGGCTGGCTTAGCACTTCTAATGCATCCCAGTGAGCCTAGTAGGATTGAATAAGATCGATCGTGATTGAAAAAATCGCGCTCATCCTATTATGCGGACGATCAGGCAACTCAAATCGATCACTCGAAAATCAATCGACAATGGCTACTTAGATCAATCAAGCAGCGAAGAAAAATCGATCATCACCCGACTTCCAGAAGCAAAACACACAACATAATAAAGTATATTGTTTTATGTTATCTTATCTTACCTGATCTTATCTTATCTTGTCTTATCTTATCTTATCCTATCATAGCCTATCCTATCTTATCTTACCTTATCTTATCTTGTCTTATGTTGTGTAATATTTCGGTGGGGACCTTTGCAGGTCCCCACCCTCGATCCCCTG